AGAGAAGAATTCTACAGACTATGGTTGCTACTACTGTGTAGAATCAAACCACTCTACAAGAAATTGCAGATATGGCGACTCTATAAGATGCTTTAATTGAAATTAACTTGGTCACAAATCTCACCATAATGTGTGTAATGATTATTATAACGACTACTATTATCATGAATAGAGGTATGGCCAGGAAGGAAGTGCCGTTTCAATTAACAACTTATTTGAAAATGGTAATTATACCCAGCCTGTAAATAAGAAAAACCATACTAAAATTGAAATAGATAACTACAATACTAACCCAACATTAAAATGTACTAACAGATTCAGTGTTCTTAATGACGAACAAGAAAATTATCTAAAATATGGTTCCAATAATTCCAACTCCAACAGCCATATTAATAAGGATTATAGTCTAATTTATAAGAAAGGTAGTGGTACCAATACTAATAACAAAAAATATAATAAAAATAAGAAGAAGTAAGAAAAAACAAAAATTCAGTAACCCGAGTGTTAAAATTGTGTACAATAATATTAGGGGCTATAAAAGCAAACAGTATGATGTTGCTAAACTCCTGAATTCTAATAAAGAAATACAAATATTTGGAATAACAGAAACCTTCCTAACAACCAATGAAGTAATAAAAATTCCTGATTTTAAATGGAGTGGAAAAAACCGCCTATCTTCTTTCAAGAATAGTCAAGGAGGAATTGGATTCTTAATAAAACACAATATCAAAATAATTGATGACAATCTATTCGAATCAAAATCAGACGAACTGTATAAGAGACAGCTTCTATGCATGTATGGTCCAGCTAAACAACAGCACTGACCCAACTTATTTATGCATCACCTATTTCCCCTGTGACGGTACCAATAAAACCTTAACATGCGAACTCTATTGTGAACTTCTCTCAGAAGAAATTCTAATACAAAATGAAGTTAGTAATGCAAATATAATTGTTTTAGGTGATTTCAATGGTAAAATTGGACACAACATTAAACAAGGTGATGATATAGTTAACTATAACGGTCAATGTCTACTAAATTTCTGCGAAGACAGTAATCTTACTATATTAAATAGCACTAACAAATGTAGCGGTAAATATACCTGGGTTAAGGGTAAATCCACTAGTATAACATGATGTTATTAGAATTAGTAGACAATAAATTAGAAACAAAAAGTAATATTAATAAGCAAGAAAAAAATACTATTAATAAAATAACTTGGAACATAAATAAAGATACCGATTGGGCACCATTTCAGAAAGAAATTGAATACAAGTTTAAAAACTGGGATCCCTCCTCCTTAAATGCCAATGAAGCATGGGAATTTTGGAAAAACAACGTTATTGCTTCTGCTGAAAATTCGATAGGTCACAAAAACAACGATAGAAAACGCAAAGTATGGTATGATGAAGAAATTGATAATTGTATTGGGAAGAGAAAAGATGCTTGTAGATTACATCGACAATATTGTAAATTACAGGGTAGTGAGTCTTACAATCAAGAGTGCGTGTGCCTTTATTATACAAGTCTGAAAAAAAGTGTGTAAAGATAAATCTGTTTTCGGCTCATGGAGTAGGTAAAGTAGATAATTGAAGACAATTATGTTTTATATTTCTATCGCAGCGATTCATATTAGATACAAGATAGCTTTATTGTCAAATTAAAATATGAAATTAGTTTTTCTCATGGCAACAAAAGTAATTAAACAACAAAGAAACATACGATCAATGATGATTAATTTTACATCACATAAACAGTATTAATTAGATTTCTATGGTTGCTGAAAATCGCTAATAAGAGATCATGAGAAATTTGTTGACGCTTCATTTTGCCTGGTGATGTGATGAAAATGATGATGAATTTTACAACTGTGTCTTTTCCTATCTAGGTACTATTTTATATTTCTTTTTAACCTCAATCCCAACCACGTACGGCTGAAGTAGAGCTAAGAAAATGTATGATTACTGTAGACAAAAATTTGAATATATTATTTTTTTCTCAATATTTTTTGAAATTTTAAAAAGGCCCCCACCCCCTAAATCAGCTACTGCTATCTACTCAAGGATCGAATATCTGGAGAAAGAAATCTTGTTTGTTTTTACTCTGTGTACCAGCTGATTATAACTCAAAGGAAATACCGATAGCCATGACTGAATTTTACTGAATGAACTTTAGTATGGTTGGCAATGGTGGTGGGGAGGGGGAGGGGAGGTAGGCAGGCAAGTAAAAAATGGAAATTATAGATGGTTGGTGTCCAATACTTATAATTGACAAATAAAAATGTTAAGGAACTGAAATTTCATTAACATTTATTTGGCATATATTATGCATGCATGACATGCGGTCTAACTGTTATACAGTCATAATAAAATCTATAATATACTATTAATTGAATAATTCTACGATCGGCAACCCATGGGTCGTGACCCAAGTTTGGGTCGTGAGTGAATTTTTGAGGGTCGTCTGATCGCATCTGGGTGTCCAAAAGATTATACAGAAAGAAAGTGTTAAAATTAAATACTTAAAAAATCAGAAGATTCGAGTCAAAACATCGAAACAAAATATTTTAAAAATAAAATACGGTAATTTGATAAAATTTTGGCTGTCTTCAATTTGCGTGCCTGCATGCAGTGTACTATAATCTCAGTCAGACCGCCGTTTGTTTTAAAAGTGTTTTTGTTTCAAAATGCACAGATATTTGTTTTGGTCGTGTAATAAATATTAGACATTTACGGTGTTGTGTCACTCATTCGCATCCTCAGTTCCTTATTTGTCTATATTGGGGGACATTTACGCCTTCGTGCCTACTAAATTAGCGGGCATTATGGAATCAAAAACATGACAAAGGTGTTAGAAACCAATGTCATTAACACGGTCAGATTAAAAAGATGGAAATCAACAAATTATGAAAATTAAATTGAAAAGCTGTTTTAAATAATTATTTTCTTTAATAAGTATGTTTATCAAATTATATTGTTGTTACAACACACTACAGTACTTCGATATAAAGTAGAACCCCTAATCAGGGGCCCTTTGGGACTTCTCAATAAAATAAGGGTACCCATATTCAAGGGACACAAACCAAAGCGTGAAATTGTACCCTTAGGGGTGTTGGTATGTTTTCAAAATAACAAAATTTTATTTATATTGACCTAAAAGTGAGTTACAGTAGAACTAAGTTATATTAATAATTTTCAATGCAAAATTCATTACCGTCAATATGAAATCAGCAGTAATGTAATCAAAACTACAATAGTTATGTTTAATGTTCCCATTTTCGTGATGCGAATTCAATGACCAATATTCTTTTTTTCAATATTGAGCTTTCTATTGGATGCATGTATCATGAATAGAGTAAACGAATCAATAATTAGTAGGCCCTATGTTATGATACAGATTTGAATCCTAAAAATAAATTCAAAAGGCGTCAAAATATAAGTTGAAAGATTTTTTTTTAGACTGCTGTAATTTTTGCGATACTGTACAATGAAAAAAAAAACGGTAATCGACAATAAATAAAGTAGTAGTTCTACATCAGAGGCCGATGCATTTCTGGTTCCATTCTACACTTAGGTACTTACTGATGAGATTACATTGAAAATAGTCCTAGGCCTAGTACGTTACTAAGATTTTCTCTGTGACGTTCATGCGTGCACTGGCCGCCGAGAAAAAGTTGCAATGGGGGAAAAGTGACACACTTCAAGGTGTGCGCGACTACTAAACTGAACCGGAAAGCAAGAGAGCAATGCCTAAGCTAGGGCCTAAAAAATGAGATGTTATTACAAGGCAGGCCTAGACTTTACAATAAAATTTGTCTGGGTCATACATGGAACTGCTCTGGCATGATTCCAGTTAATTTCCAATACTTATAGCTCTGTAATTCCTGTAATCTCTGATTCGCACACCAAATCTCGCGATCGCGAAGCTCGCACGCGGGTCTCACTCTTCAATTCCGCAACAAACAGATATGACCTACGTTGACCTAAATGTTGACCAAGAAAAGTTTGAAAACCGCAGTTCGACTGTGTAAAAGTATACTTTCAAATAGTGCTGAACTTTTGGTTATAAAAAACAACTTTATGTACGTTCTATTTTGGTAAACTTTTAGTATGTTGCTTTACATAAGTTTATATTTAGATCATAAAACGTTTTGTTGCAATTTTGTCCAGTCAAATCCGTATTTCCGGTGGACTACTTTTCATTTTCATCTTTAGCTCATGGCCCATCTAATTATTTCTCAACCGGATTTATTCTTACAAGGCCAATTGCCAGACCATAACAAAGTGTGAGCCACAAAAATCAAAAGTTATGAAAATAGGCATCGATATCAATTGGGAACCTAAGTTGCCAAATTTTGAAGTGAAGAAACGTTTGATTCCCAAAACAACGCACGTAGCTGGTGGTCAATAAAAATGTTTTTATAGTTTATTACCTCCGCCAAGAAGGTTATGTGTCACTGTTGGCTGTCTGTCGGTCGGTCTATGTGTATAGTCTGTCTCTCTGTTAGTGAAAATTGATTTTTTTTATTCTTGAGCAGAAAAAAAGATAATGGAATCTCCCCTCGCATTCAGGCAGCACTCAACAAAAAACAATGTGCCTGAATATGGAGAGTGTGCTTCCATTATTTTCTTGAGGGTAGGCTGCAGCACACTAGAAAATAATGTGCGTGAATACGACGGGCGATTCCATTATACATTGAGGTATGCTGCATTTTCGCCCATCATACACGGCCTGCGTATTGTTGGTAGGCCTACTGTATTCAGGCACGGGGGCGGGATTATGCACTATATAAAGTGACTGGTATTGCTTCTTTTATTATGTGACATTTTAATTCATCTATTAATATTTATATTAATATATTATTAAATTATGAATCCACATTCCACATAATGTATTTTGGGATATACAGCAAATAACGATGCAATGCAAATTGTGCAAACGGCTTAAAATAACTGCGCGGCACGACATTACAATTATACAATGTTATAGTCCTGCATACTTGCGTGATATTTAAAGATGACCAGTCATCAAAGTGGTGATTCAACCTAAAGTTCTGTTGTGAATCAAGAAACATCGCCGAATCACTGTCTGATGTTCCTTCTCCATCGACAAATGCAGTATATATAGGATTTCCGGTTCCTGCTACCCCTTTGAATACCAAGGTCCACTCTACAAACACATAATGATTAGTTTTATATTAGACTATCATGTGTTTTATGTAATATGTAATTTATTTGATACGACATGTTTAGAGCATGTCTGTGCCCAAAAATTGTAGCATCAAATGAATTTCTACAGAGGTAATTACAACCGTTTTCATTCTGACTTCATCCTGTCACTCTGTTTAGGCAGTTTCTTTGTTTGTACAACCCATTGTTTTCATGTCTGTCAAACATTTGATAACCAGGGCATACGTGAACTCATTAATTAATATCAATCTTATTGATTATATTGATTACTATGACGTATTTTAATAATAATAATAATAATAAATAATAATAATAATAATAATAATAATAATAATAATAATAATAATAATAATAATAATAATAATAATAATAAATGTAAATAGTGTATTGTAAAGATTCTCATCATAATTTTAGGACAAAGGTAAAAGAAATTAGAGGCTTAGACGGCCAGCCCTCCCTGTTGTCGCACTTGCTACGGAGAGGTTATGGAGTGCCGAGCTATTTATAATAATGTTTTTGCTCGGAAACTTTTCTTTGTTTTCAGTGGCAACACTTCCAATTAAAAGGGGCGCCTAAATGCAATTACGCATTAAAACATGATCACAGACAACCTATACTGAAATGATTAAGCCAATACCCAATATCTTAACAATAGCCATTTACATACATACATNNNNATATGTGGGTGTGTGTGTGTGTGTGTGTATACATATATTCTTTATTGTCAAACTCATGTTAAAAATACAAATTCGAAAAATAACTTACGAAAAACAAAGGAAACTACCATACAATTCAACAACATAAGATGATAAAAAGCCCATTAAACAATAAGATAATGACACAAAGGTATGCAAATTTCGCACAAAATATTAATATGTTAAAATATAATATAGAGGGACATACCTAAAATGTACAAAATGAGTGTAAAAGTTTAAAGTTGGTGAAAAATTTGTATTTAAAAAAGCATTGTTTCATGGCAGATGCAGATTATACCTAGTCCATCTGTCATTGTACTGTCGCATAGCGGAAGGGAGCAACGAATTTCTAAGACGTTTCGTTTTTATCCTGGGATAGAGAATTTTCCCAGTTCTGCTAACCGTAACACATTGATTGAGATGGGGGTGTGTATCTGACGTTATTAGTTCCAATTTCTGTTCCATAGCATTATTACATATTTCTTAAATTGTTTTAACATTAACACCCATTATATTGCTAGCTGATTTTTGTCCTTAAATTTTCATCTATACCATTGAACCAAGCTATTGCACAGAAGGTAATGACGGATTGGACAATAGATTGATAAAATAGTGACATATTACTTTCGTGTTTACCCTAAACTGTTTCATTCTTCTTAAGAAATTTATTCTTCGATTATCTTTTGAACATATATATTTCTTATTTGAATTCCGATTTAACTTGTCACCGATCATTACACCAAGTACGTATATGATTGATTAAAATTTTAACGGCTTTATCATTATATAATTATTTGGTCATGCGCCACGTTATGTTTCCAAAAATGAATTATCACCTTTTTTATTTTCTTAGTTTGAATTTCTAAATAATTCTGCTGGCACCATAGGACAAATGATTCTATCTTATCTTTGTACTCTTGTATATTATTGTCCTTCATTGCATTTTCTGAATTAAAAATGTGAAATGTGTTTGTATACTATTAAAAGCTAATGAGAAGTCAAAAAATTAAATTTTAACGTAAGCATTGTTGCTAGATGTGTAAAGGCATTGTGCAGCAGTGCTATTAATAGGCCTATTATTGCATCGTCTACTCCTCTCATTTCTCTGTAGGCAAATTGACAGGGATCTCATTTATCGTTTGTTTCTCTCAGTATGACAATTCGAACAATGTGTTCCATGAATTTCATATTGGAGTACAGTGCTATGGCTTTCTTATTTTAGGTATTGGACAGTAGATAATTTCCTTGTAGCAGGAACCTTTACATATGTTCAACGACCAATCATACAAGATGGTAAAAATAGTAGACAGTTATTCATTACAAGAAAGTATAATACATACTCCAAGTATTGAAATACACGCCATCGTGTTGGGATTCAATATTTCGACATTAATTATGTCATCATCAGGAATGGACGATGGCGTGTATTTCAATACTTGGAGTATGTATTATACTTTCTTAACTGAGATTAATCAGTGGACCTTTCGGTTATTCATTACATACTTTAAGAATTTTCCCCCTAACTCCATCCGGGCCTATTTCCTTTAGAGCGTTGACATGTTAAAATACCTTTTAACATCATGTTCATTAATCACATTTTTATCCTCCTCTTTTTGAAAATCCTTTAACACTGTTGCATACCCATCTCTTATTTGTGTGAGCATTGATCAAAGCGGGTACAAGATACATTCACTTTATTCAGCAGCAGTACTTAAGTCACACTGTCATTTTTTTTTCATTCGATTCCACATTGTTTTGCTATGGCCAATTCTGTATCTGTTTTTTACTTCTTCTAATTTTTTTTTACTTTTGCGACTGCTTTCTTAATTTTCTTTTGCAAATTATATTCTTCTCTGCAGGCTGCTGGCAGTACGTTTTTCATGCGCAAGCAGATTAAGTTATTATTTGTTGTTAAACTTTCATTTATGCATGAACCAAAATAACATCGGTATTTACCTGGACGTTTCGATCACAATCGGCGATCTTTTTCAACTGACTGTGTTGTGACTTCAGTCTGGTCATGACGTCATCAGCCCGATGACGTAATGTGCTGATGTTGGCCGGGGCGCCGCCTGCTCCTGTTGTGTTCAATAGTTCGTTGTAAATAGTTGAGAGTTCATAAGAACCCTCATCATCCCTGTTCATGTTGTCAATTTTTTCTTAATCCAAATGGATTCACGGATTTTTCTCTGTTGCCAAGGTTGCTCCTTCCCCAGTATTTTCGCATCCCAGTTTGGTATATGATTGTAAAGCGTGGCGTGATCAGTAATTGCAGATTTGTGTTGGGTTAAAGATGTGGAAGATCGTTGGGCCCAGGTTTTTACTCCCTCTGTGTGTTGCGCGACGTCTGGTTTGTGCATGCTCCTGGATTTAGTTTAACAATTGCATCCTTCGGGTGTACTAAGCCCTCTCTGATTTTATTCTGTGGTACGAAATAAGAGTGTTTTTTTTTTCTTTTCGTTTATTAAGTGTTCATTTCACTTATCATAACAAAACGCGTATTGTCGTATAAGTATAATTTAAATTGAGTTGATTTTATGTGTCGCCAATGTTCTTCTGATGCGTTCTGATAGGCCTTTGACATGGAATCGTACACTTCCCCTCATGTTTTCTTTCTCCCTTTTTGGATGTTGTTTGTGGATTGTGCCTTTTTGGACCGTTTGTCCATCACCATATCGAATGCCCACTTCGGATAATCACAGCTCCCAAGTGCTTTCTTGATGTTCTTTTCTCCGGTGTGGATCACACATCTATCAAGGGTTCGAATGACACTTAGCTTATGTTCTAAAGAGTGATGAGACTTAAAGTGAAGATATTGATTTGTGTGAGTCGGCTTTCGATATATGGATGTGGTTATGGTGCCTGTTTCATGTAATGTAATATCAGTATCTAAGAACGGTATGGTTTTTCATGTGTTCGGGTATGAATTTGATTCTGTTTGTGGAGTCAATGTTGTTTAAATGCAAATTTAGATCGTGTACTGTGCCTTTAGGGATCACGGCAAGAATATCATCCACGTAGGCCTATCTCCCCAGTTTTGGCTTGATGTGATCTGCTGCTATGTTGATTGCCTACCACTCCAACCGCTCCATGTGCAAGTTGGCAATGATGGGGCTTACTGGACTTCCCATAGCGATTCCCTCCTTTTGTCGGTATATTTTTCCATTATAACTGAAATAGGTGTTACCGATCACTACTTGTAGTAACTCGACGAGATCGTCCACGCTGAGCTTCGTCCTTTCAGTTACTTGTTTATCTGAAATTAATCGTGTATCGCTTGGTTCACTGGTGTTTTGGTGAATAAGGATATCACATCAAATGACACAAACGTTTCATTTGGCAATAGGGTAAGATACTTCAGTTCTTTAGCCAGTTCTTTGGAGGTACGTGATGTTCCGAGTTACCAAATACTGTAATGGGATGCGAATTTTGGCTAATCGCGTGCCACATTGTAATAGAAGGTGATTTTCGGAAGGCAATATAGACGTGGCGTGATTTCTGCTGTGGGAAACCAAAGATGTTTTTGATTAAGTTCATTATTCATTCAGGGCTTGCTGTTAGGATACACTTTAACCTTCTTTTTTGTTATAATCATTGATTGACAAAAATGTAACCGTAGCGAGATATAGCTTCTGCTTCTTCGTCGAGTGTGGCTGATTTAGTGAAAACGTTCCAAACTGTGCATTTAATTCAAGGCATCCTCATTATCTGCTGACCACTTTTTCTTAATTTTTTTAAAAACTGGTTTTGATGTTTTACGTTTCTCTAGGTAGTAGGTGGACTGTTCCATGGTCTGAATCCCCTAGGTTGACTTTAATTTTGCATTTGTATGCCTGCGATATGTTGCTGTGGCACTTGTCTAAAATGTCATTCCCCCTCTAGTTGGTTTGTCCACATAGGCCTATTGATGGTAATACGGGAGAACATTTTCCAGGTCGTATCTATTAAAATCTCCTAGGATTATTTAACTACATCTGGTTAGTTATTTTCCTGTTGTTGTATAACCTCATGGAGATGATTTACAGCATTTACATTTGCGTATGTGCTGCTTATGTAGACAATAGTAATTAAAACATTAAACAATTCGCGGGACAAGTGGACAGGTCGCAATGCGACTGTGAGAAATTCAATGTCATTCGAACAATACTATTGTTTTATTACAGTATTTGAACGCCATCTGTCATTTATATATACATTCTTTCCTGTATTAGTAGGGTCTCTATCAGCTCGTAGGCAAGTGAATTCATCTATATGACTATACTTTTCACTGTTAGCTTCCTTGTGGCAAGTTTCAGAAAAACACATACAGCAACATTCACGGTAATCCTGAATAAATGCACAGTTTGCCTTAAGTTCATCTGATTTATTCCGTATCGATTGGCATATATCAAGAATTAATGGCTCCCCATCCCTACTATATTAATGGTTAATTTTAGGTACATATGACTTCTATTCAGATCAGACCATACACGATCAGACATTTAGGAACTAGAACAAATCATTATACTGTACCTAAAAACAAGGTAGATAGAAATCACATTTAGGTATCTAAACCAAATAGCCATTTCAATGAAACATCATGACATTTTCTTCAACGAAATCCATGCAAAAATGATGTCAGTGCTTAAACTAAGTAACTAATAATATAAACTTACACTAAACCATCATATAAACTAAAACTAATAAATGATCATGATATTACTATTGTATAAAGTACAAGACTGTAAAATATAAAGTTGCCTATTGTTTAATTATTTTTATTTCTTTTCTGTTTCTCAATGCACTATCATCAAACAGTTCGCTTTTACAGCAAGTGTTTTGACAATTATATAATAATAATAATAATAATAATAACAATATTCAAATGAAATTTGCTGCGTAGCACCGTGAACACAATATAAACAAAATTAATACAATAGCTAAATAATAATGACAGTGTTGGATGATGTTATAATCGTATCAAGCATAACCCTTCAACGAAAAGTTCCTTATTAATGATTCCTTAAAACCAAATGATATCCTAGAACTGGTATTGTTTACACATCTAGATGTGTATAAGAGACAGACACTTAGCTTATGTTCTAAAGAGTGATGAGACTTAAAGTGAAGATATTGATTTGTGTGAGTCGGCTTTCGATATATGGATGTGGTTATGGTGCCTGTTTCATGTAATGTAATATCAGTATCTAAGAACGGTATGGTTTTTCATGTGTTCGGGTATGAATTTGATTCTGTTTGTGGAGTCAATGTTGTTTAAATGCAAATTTAGATCGTGTACTATATTTGTTTAATAAAATTATGAATTAATACATATAGGCCTATATATATATAGGCCCTATAGTTTATATGTATATAGAATTAACGCACCTTCAGGAAGGCAACCATTGTCACCGACACATTTACACACGCGGGTGTCACCATTGTATATCGTACCAGCTTTGCATGCCTCGTAATGCTTTCGTCAGGTATGAAATGAAAATGGAAATTTAACATAATTATTACAAAATCTCAGATAAAAGTTAGTTGAATATCAACTGGAATTAGAGCAGGTAGTTAAATTAGTATAGGCCTACTAACCTCATGAGTAAATTCGTAGTACGAAACATTGTCCGCAATAGTAAAGCCATTCGTTTCCTTTTTTATTACGTCATTTAAATGACAAGTTTGGTTTTCCTTTTCGTAGCTGAGTGACATACATTGTGGGTCCCGCTGACAAGGAACAACACATGACATGGCAGACGGTCTCCGGAAACTTTTAATCACGTGACTCTGTAATATCCCACCTGGTTCAATTTTCTTCATCGTAGAGAATCGCTTGCATTTAGTTTCAAAAACTGCTCGACTATCAGCATATTCTGAGAAAAATGGTGTCACAAAATATTGCGAGTTTGGAGAATCTATAATCAGCCTTAGTAATAAATCATCATACAGATGATTTATTACTGTATACAAATGGTCATAAACGACAAAACAATACATTTCTTAATTTTTTAGAATTTAAAAGTCAAGCATGAAGTACATAGCAATTAGGTACAATGAATGTGTTATTACATTTTCTGACTAACCTTCATGAATTCCCATAAATGAATAGGTCCTTAAGCCTGTGTAGGCTGTCAATCTGTGTCGAGAACCGATTACGAGGTCCTCGGTGGCAATCACAGCTAATTCAACCAGGGAACTTTCATTCACGTCAAACCTTATTAGACTCTGGTCGAATTTAAATCCAATGATATCGCCGACCTGCACTGGGATCCAGTCAGATCTTGGTAGGTTGTATGAATGGATTTTGTTTGTTTCTGCCACAGCCGGCAAAATGGTACGCCCTATCACCTCATACTCCTTAGTAGAAGAATTAGTGAGCCGCCACACTAGTCCAAGAAAACTAGCAGATTTGGATGGAAACCATTTCCAAGCCTTGATGTATCCAGGACACGTGATAGGAGTACCGACCTGCACCACGGTCCAACCATCGGTATCTATCTTATAGCGGTCTTTCAGAATATCAGTATCACCAAAAATACAGTTACCCAACGAGTCTATGTATGAAACATTACAAAATACCGTAAATGCTCGAATAAGCGCCGTTCTCGAATAATTAAGGTAAGTTCAAGTAATATTTATTTCACTTTTTTATATAACACAATCTGTACAGATTGCATAATAATAAAGTTCACTCTAAAATTTGAGACCACTTTGGGACCTGAAAATGTGGGGTGGTCTGGGGGTTCGGTCTCGAATTAGAGGATTAGCTTTGTGTTAAAAGATCGAAGATTGCTATTTGGTTCTTCTAAAAAGTGGTCTCGAATTTGAGGGGTCTCGTATTGGAGGGTTTACTGTAATTCATAATAATAAAGAGAATATAAGTACTCAGAAATCATTTTGTGAAAAAGGAACTCTGCGAATAAACATGCTTTGAATTTCAGAGCCCTAAAATAAAATGATAAAAACTTTGGAAATTAAGTTATTTTTACCAATATAATTAGCCATCAATTATGAATGAAGTTAATATATTATTTAGTTAAGTGGTTAGTGAAATATTATTACAAATTATACAGTTGTTTATATACCGATCCATCTCATTTTTGTAAACCCTCATATACCTCTCATTTAATTTATATTTAAAGGAACAAATATTTTTACAATCTTTCAAATCATCCGATAATTGGTTCCACACCCTTGACCCCCCTATAAGAAAAACCTTTTTTGTACAACGTTTGTTCTTTTGAGATCAGTGACAAGTTTATTTTTATTCGTTGTATTGGGATTATGATGGGATTCAAATGTATAGAAAGAAGTCATCGAAATAGTCTGGTAATTTTTCTCTGTGGTTTTCAAACATAACAAAACATATAAATCATAAATAGTTAATGTTTTTTGTGGTAATAAAGAGGCTTCGAAGGGTGAGGGAATTGAACATTACAAATTATGCGAATTGCTTTTTTGAAGTATGATTTTTTTTAAATAGTCTTATATTACCTGAGCCCCATATTGATATACCATAAGTAAGAGTTGACCGTACTGTATGAGAGATTTATAAATAATGCAAAGTACTTGATAAGGTACAACAGCTTTTAAAAGGTTTATAGCACCAATAATTTTAGATACTTTACTTGCAATTGTATTTACATGGCTTGTTTCATCTATAATGACACCCAAGAACTTCGTATTTTCAATTCTTTCAAGAATATCATCGCCAATTCTTAGCTGTAGATTTGAAGGGTCACAAATTGTTTTTTTCCCACTAAAGGTCATGTATTTTGTATTGTTTGTATTTACTGTTATAGCTTAATATTAATAAACCAAAGGTATATCAATTCTGAATTCATTGATTTGTATGCATCAGATATAGTTTTTTGGTTGTAAAAATAGATTGGTATCATCTACACACATGATTAAATGAGCAAAAATTGCATAATGATGACATATCGTTGGTAAAACTTTAATAGTAAGGGACCGATAATCGATCCCTGAGGAACGCCGTACTTTATGTCTTATATTATCAGACAATTACACATACCAACCTATTGTTTCCTCAAACATAAATAGCTATGCAACCAGTCAAGAACAATACCCCTATGCCATAATAATGTAACTTATCAATAAGAATTTTATGATCTTGTGAATCAAAAACCTTGGAGTAGGTCCAAGTATACTCCAATTGTTAACAATGTAAAAGCGCTGATGATATCTTATCAAACGCCTGTAATAATGCGTGAGTATAATTGGAATGACTCTCTCTGAAACCAAACTTAACGATACTAGAATTACGATTACTATAAACTCATGGAACTCCTCTTATATTAGATCGATGATTGAATAAAATTACCTTTTAAGACGAGTAACAGGGCAGTAAAAAACAAAATTTCACGGCGTTCCATTTTATTCATACTCTGATGAAATGAAATGCTGAAAAAAATAGTAAGTAGAAATATATATAATGATACAAAGACAGCTACATAACTTAAGTTATAGCGGGGGCTAGAGGTCATACTCATGCCCTACCATAAGTTGCAGATGAGATGACATCCTCTAGATGCTTCGAAATAGCAATTTCTATAATAATATAATTTTAATTCAAACACACATTTAGATCGGTGGTACTCAAAAACCAATTAATGCGTTCATTTAAAACAAACTAAGCGAATTAAAATAACAAAATTATATAAAAACAATTCTTAAGTATGGAAATAAGCACAAGTAGTAGTACTGCTGATGACACAGGTAGCTCCTTTAAAAACTGAAAAGGAAAAACAATTGCATGAACATCATGCATCACTAATTGTCACACAATTTCGAAGAACCATCAATGCCATCAATCAACGCTACAATAATGTAAGGGTAAACTACAATCTACTTAGTAATACAGATACAACAAGATCAAGATTAATTTCAGATCTGTCTCTCCAAGCTCGTATTCCATAATTTGTACAAAATTCATCGAAGCATTTCTCGACTTATTTTGTCAGAGAAAGAGTAGTGGAGCCTAAGACGTAACTTAAGTTAATATTAAGAGTGATATTCAGTTGAGATGGAGTTGGTTTTTTTCGGATAGAAATCAAGCAACTAGCCTCATTCGAAAAAACGAAAGCGTATTTTGAAAATACGCTAGCGGAGGATATTAAGTATATAATAATGAAAAAGCTTTTGGAAATATGTTAGACCGCGGGTAAAATTTACATCAGTTGTAGAACTTGTGGTCATCCACTTAAGCGTATACATCAATCGGTCGAGTGTAGTCGAAACAGTGAAAATCAATGCAGGGGTCCCAAGTCTCCAGGAACTCGCGGTTGTCTCCCGGAAATCGGAACGGCCTCCCGCACTCTCGCAACACAAGCAAGACTCTCCCGAAAATTAACCCATCTCCGCAAATTCATAATTTTGCATGTTTTCATTGTTTTAATATCAATTTTCTAACGGAAGACAATGCCGATGGGTCCCGGTATCACTATGTGCAGCAAAATAAAATTAAGTGTGTTAAGAAAGCTCATTAACCAGATCAGTTGCGGATTTAAGGGAGGGGAAAGCCGACCTGGGGACTGATGTCGATAAAGGATTGAGTGGGGGCGCTGATAAGATTCGATGTCTAACTATTTGAGGCTCCAACGGCAGATCAGAGGAACAGGCTCGGGGGTGTCATTCTCTTGAAAACGTATTTTGACCGTCTTCACGTGGCATTTCTGCCTGGAAACTATAGGTTCACCTCAGCCCCAATCATTGGGGTGTCGGTGCTGACATTGTTTCTAACTTTAGTGCATGCGTGGATTTATTTGTGCTTAGAAAATGTTTATGGTTAAGGGTAGGAGAACCTGGGGTACAAGATTTTTTTTGTTATCACCACCTCCCCCATGCTACTGCATTCCCTCATTTTGACAAAACAACACCTATCACATTGACGTTGAAAAACCAAGGCTAATAAATCGGTCTTCCGCTGGTCTCAAACTGATTGGCCACCAGATCAAAAATGTTGAATACCCGGGTATAAAGTACCGTATCTCTTCGGTGATCTCGTCTTGTCATTTAAGGTGCTATGCAGATCCGAGCATATCAAATTGATCTCTGCTTTACTAGTTTATTGGCACACCGTAAAGTGCGATATGAATTGCTTCCAATCCAATTCCAACGAAAGCCTCAATGGCCCAGTTGGTTAAGGCGTCTGCATAGACACCAAAAGGTCCCGGGTTTGAATCCTGGTGGGGACAATTTTTTTTGCACTCGCAGATCACTCTTCTTTACTGAACTTGTGCAAAAACAATCTTTTGATTGAATGCGTGTGTACTTACTACATGTACTTGAAATTTCCAGAGGGATTCGTACTTGGCCTCAAGTCAAAATATCCCGATAGGGCGAATACAACATAAACATACAGCAATACTTTACCATTAGTGATTAATATAAATCTTGATGAGCTCGCCCGATTAGACCTCTATAATATGCATCAAAAGGCAACGTACTAGAATAAATATTATTTTCATTAACCACACCTCAGATGTCAACCCGGACCACACCGAAGGCGTTAGGAAACAAATGATTATCCATGGTTTTGTATACCGTATTACTTTGAAACTGAATTAATGAAATGAATTATATGACACTTTGATAGCCTTTTGTCAGAAGGACTCTGATTGGTCATAAGCGTTTAGAGCATGCGCACATTTTCATATCAATGATGAAAGCTAATCAAATAAGATTACATACTCCAAGCATGGAGTTATAAAATTAAGTTATCAAAATAATTATAACTCCATGCTCCAAGTAGTGACATGTACGCCATTGTGTTGGGATTCAATATTTCGACATTAATTATGTCTTCATCAGGAAGGCTAATCAATGTGTTGTCAATAGTCATTATTAATAGGCCTTCTCTCCCGATAACTGCAAATAAATATATATATATATATATATATATATATGAAATTGGCACATATTATATAATAGTTCACATATCCGAACAAAATGGCCTAAGGGGATTATTGGGCAATATTCCATTCACATCAGTCAATTGAAGGCTATGAACTTGTTGTGAACATTCATTATTATTATACCTCTTCGGAGGGCTACAAATATAAAGATATTATAATACTGGCATATCAATTTAGATTATCTACACATCCGAACAAATGGCCTAAGGTGACTATTCAGCGACGTACAGCGTGGGATACATTTTATACCACCATATGGTATTTTTTGTCAATTTATAGGTAGAAAACGTAAGACCTGACTATCAAACTTTATTTTACAAATACATGAGACGCCTAAATATGGTCATGATGACATCACATTATGACCATATAAAGGCACAACATGACTATATATCTAGCTCTCTTTATGCTAACCATGAAAATGTAGGTGTAACTGATTGACAGTAAACCTTCAAACTAGCGTAATTTAACGACATTCAAACTCCATCAAGTTTAACGAAAACAATAAGATACTTAGGCCATGCTTTTGAGATAAAGTTCTCTGAAACTTAACTACAGAATTTACAATAAACTGTAGGCCTAGTTAATGTGTTATAGGTTGTAAAAACTGTATTGAATTTTAAAAAAAATCTTTCGAATAAAAAAATCTTTCTCTTGACATTAAGAATTAGTCATTTGTAAAACAAAATGATAGCTATGTCAAGTGTTATTGAACAATGGCGGATTCAAGGAGGAGCCTAACTGTCTCTTATACACATCTAGATGTGTATAAGTCTATACTTTTGGAGAGTGTCCAAGGACTTTCGTTAACCCCTCTCTTAAAAATGGACGGTCCCGATTCGTAGTACGTTGTGTGTTGGTGCTAGTACGTTGTATGTTTGAGTTAGTGCGTTGGGTGAATGTAATTGTATTTTTGGCGGTTGTGGCCTGCGTCGTAGTACGTTGTGTGCTTGAGTTAGTACGTTGTGTGTTTGTAAATGTATTTTTGGCGGTTGTGGCCTGCATCGTAGTACGTTGTGTGCTTGAGTTAGTACGTTGTGTGTTTGCTGTCTCTTTGGCGGTGTTGGCCTACGTTGTGTGTTTGAGTTAGTACGTTGCGTGTTTGTGCTAACACGTTGTGTGTTTGTGCTAGTACGTTGTGTGTTTGTAATTGTATTTTTGGCGGCGTTTGCCTTCCATACCTGCTCCGTGTACGCCGACGGTAATACCATGGAGGTATTATTGAGAAGGAGATCACTCGGCAACAGATCCCTTTGACGCGACAAACCTATGTGTTCCCCGCTTTTGGATCGCGCGCGGGCGTATTACCTTATAATTCACATTTTTTCGTTAGCAACAACTTGGCAACGACATGCATTTATACGCTTCCAGCAGAGCAGTTGTGCAATAAAACGTTTGATTTTAACCCATTAAATATCTTTATAATGAACAATGTTCCCCTGATTAGATTTTTTAGGGCTTTTGGTATGTTATTATTTGTATATTTCAGGATCGGATTCCGTAAAATATTTATGTTAAAATTACTTCTGTGTTCATTATAATTTTGTCTAAAGATTGACTGGTTCGACTATAAAGCTAAGTCAGCGTAAAACTGAAAAATACTCAGATTTTGGATTCATTCTCGTTAACCCTAAAATGACTTAGTTTATTATAATCCTTAAATCCTTAATCATTTATTAATTAATATCTGTTAAAATTAGAATTGGCGAATTTTGGCCAATTTATGAAAATTGAAGTTGAAATATACTATACTTTTATAGGTCATGTAAATGTTCCATTAAATTCGAACTTTTCTTGGAGGAAAATATTAATATGTATGTATATTTTATGAGAGATAAATGTATCAGCTTCAAAATAGAAAAGATTGCGCAGCCATAGTGAGTGACAGTATGTAGTGCGCATTGAGAAAAGAAGGTGCTCTCCATTTCGTCATGTTCAATTTTTTGGTCAACTATGCCTGCTGAAAATTTCATGGCGGGGAACACATGGGACTTCAAAGGCATCGCGCAAACGTTCTTTACGCGCTGCGGCAACTTTGATCTTGGTTCATTTGCATAGCGCTGCGTGCGCGTGGCTTTGCCGAGTGATCTCCTTCTCAATAATACCTCCATGAGGTGACTATTCAGCGACGTACAGCGTGGGATACATTTTATACCACCATATGGTATTTTTTGTCAATTTATAGGTAGAAAACGTAAGACCTGACTATCAAACTTTATTTTACAAATACATGAGACGCCTAAATATGGTCATGATGACATCACATTATGACCATATAAAGGCACAACATGACTATATATCTAGCTCTCTTTATGCTAACCATGAAAATGTAGGTGTAACTGATTGACTTACAGTAAACCTTCAAACTAGCGTAATATAACGACATTTAAACTCCATCAAGTTTAACGAAAACAATAAGATACTTAGGCCATGTTTTTGAGATAAAGTTCTCTGAAACTTAACTAAACAATTTACAATAAACTGTAGGCCTAGTTAATGTGTTATAGGTTGTAAAAACTGTATTGAATTTTAAAAAAATCTTTCGAATAAAAAAATCTTTCTCTTGACATTAAGAATTAGTCATTTGTAAAACAAAATGATAGCTATGTCAAGTGTTATTGAACAATGGCGGATTCAAGGAGGAGCCCACCGGATTGGCCCCAGCCTAGATACTCGCTTCGCTCAAGCGCATACTTGACCTTTGGAATGGTCCCCCCATTTTTAAAAGCGTCCACCGCCGTTGGTGGGTACACACAACCGTAACAAGCAGACTTATAGGCTATATACAAGGCTGACCCCTGAAACCTAAAATTGTTAATGGCAAACGTGTTACAATAAATTAGCATCCAAATAATGCATAACAGTAATATGAAGTGATAGTATGGACACTTAATTCACGCTATCAACAGGTACATTAAACAATTATGTTCGTAGAGGAATGGACCTTTTCGGGGGGGGGGGGGGGGGGGGGGGAAAGGGGACAGCTTCACAACTGGGCTAAATAGGTAGGCCTACAAGGCCAGGAGTACAATACGACCTTGTCCTACCATGTGTTTACTTACACAGTGGCGTAAGGCCTATGCGCTCTCGCGCGGCTGTCCACAGGGCCCCCGACCCATGGGGTCTCTGACTACATTGTCCTCGATCTAGCACCCTGATCCAAAAGGGCTTTGTTGATACATAACAGCATAGTGTGTCTTTGATTTTTTTCCATATTATATCCAGTGGTAAATTAAAGGGGGCCCCCTAAATTTTTAAATTTTAGTTCTGTGAGTGCCATTTCCGGCCATTTAGAGGTGCCGTAATCATGTTCTTGCCTCAGCCCCACCATGGTTGTTGGGTGGTATTGACCCTTTATTAGTAGTTAAAGTGTCTCCTTGGTCCCTATTAAACATTCATGGATTCGCCACTCCTCATATTATATCATTTATTTTGCCGTTAAAATACATTTAGAATGCAATAACAAATATAATTTAAAAAACGAGCACATCTAAAATCCCCCAATGGAATTGGCGACTGAGACCCAAATGGTCCCCACTCTCAGAAAGCCACAGGGCCCCCGGCCCCATCGTTACGCCACTGTGTACGTACATTTACGTTATCGTTTTATGGGACCTTAGCCACAATATTCAAGGGTTGGTTATGTGTAAGCGGAATGGTCCATTAACTCTTCGTTCGGATGACAAGTAGAGCTGTTTGGTTCAGTATTCTTTTATAGACATTTGTAAACACAACTTTTACATTGAAGAAATAGCAATGAAGTCAGCTCCAATTAGAAATTGTTAAACTATAAAAAATATCTTAAATAAATATCATATAACAC